CCTCCCGTGCACCTGCAGGAGGGGTGGGAATCCCACTCCTCTCTCCCTCCCAGGAGAGGAACCCGCCCGCGAACGCCGGCCCCCTCGATTGCACAGTCCCGGCAGCTCTTGGAAGAACGCCCTGGGCTTCTGGTGAGTGGTCTCCGGAGGTTAGCAGACAGGGGTGCAAAACGGGCGGAGAGAGAAAAAGGATGGGAAGAAAGGGTTGACTCCCGGAAGAGAAGCAAGATCCACAAATATTTGCAGAGCCAACCGTTTCACCTCGAGGCTGTGTGTAGTTTCCCCCAAGCCCTTTGTTTTTGGTTTAATTTTTGGCCAGGCTCTCAAAAGTAGGCGATGTTTCTCCTCCGATCAATTCACCCTTCCGAAAATGTTAATACGTGTCTTTGGAGAAAGGAATCTTGAACTCACTACTTTGAAATGGCAAGCCAATCTTTGGCTCACGCCCATTTAAACAAAGACACCACTCCCAAAATGTTCCGTGAAAGAACATCCATCTACCTGCGGAAAATCACCCAAGCACCGCCTGGGAGGGAGGAAGAGTTTTAGCAGGAGCCTAAACAGCAGGGACTTTGGCGATAAGCTGAGTATAACTTGCTAAGAGTCACCTAACTTCTCCGAGGCTCCCTTTTCTCAGGAGTCAAATGGGGATAGTCCACCGTGGGGGACCCTGCTGGTACTTAAAATACGGGTGGCATTGGCTGCCAGCATCACAATCTACTGCAGCAGGACAAACTGACAGACAGGTGGTGGGTGCTACTTCATGGGCTGCAGAAAATGACTTTGATGAAGGCCCTGGCCTGTGTGGTTTCCTTCCTATGGGGAGCTCAGAGGAGACAAAGCCAACCCTGTGGATCGTAAGGGGACCTCTGTGTTACCGAGTTCTGATCCTCACAGCACAGAGGGGTAATATGGAAAGGGATGTCTATCCCCATTTTCCACATGACGAGAGACTGGGACCATTCAAGTAGGAAGTGCAGGCTGGGGACCTGGGCTTTGCATCTTGGGGTCTTCCTGCTGTACCACAGTGCACTGGAAGCAGTGGGTCAGTGGATGCCCCGGGACTGGACTGAACGGTGGTGGGAACTCAGCGGCGAGGTCTCAGAGCTTGGATGTGAACACATAGGGACCTCAGGCTCCTATTTCTTTTTTCTGTACTTTTATTGGGGGCTCTTACAACTCTTATCACCATCCATACAGTCATCCAGTGTGTCAAGCATATTTGCACATAGGCCACCAACATCATTTTCAAAGTATTCTCTTCCCACTTGAGCCCCTGATATCAGCTCCCCATTTCTTCCCCCTCCCTCCCCCGACTGCCCTCCCTCACGAACCCTTGGTAAGTTATAAATTATTATTTTCATATCTTATATCGTGCTCCGTCACCCCTCAACCACTATTCTGTTGCTTGCCCCACTGGGAGGGGGTTCTAGGTTGATCCTTGTGATCGATTCCCTCTTTCTCCCCCCACCCTCCCCTAATCCTCCTGGTATCTCTACTCTCATTGTTGGCCCTGAGGAGTTTATCGATCCTGGAGTCCCTGTGTTTCGGGCTCTTGTCTGTAACAGTGTGCATTTTCTGGTCGAATCCGATTTGTAAGGTAGAACTGAGGTCATGGTAGTGTGGGGAAGGAAGCACCAAAGAGCTAGAGGACAGTTGTGTGTTTCATCGGTGCTATAGTGCACTCTGACTGGCTCATCTCTTCCCCATGACCCCTCTTTGAGGGGATGTCCAATTATTGCAGATGGGCATTGGGTCTCCACTCCATGCCCCTCCCCGCCCCCCATTCACCTTAGGTATGATTTAGTTCTGGGTCTTAGCTGCCTGATCCCTGATCCCATCGACACCTCATGATCACACAGGCTGGTATGCTGCTTCCATGTGGGCTTCGTTGCTTCTGAGTCAGGCTCCTATTTCTGATCCCAGCGCCAAGTGGACACGGCGTGGTGATGGGGGGGGGGAGAAGAGGGAGTCGACTGGAAGCACGGGTGATGGGAAGGTTGGGTGCCAGGGCTGCGGTGGTGGCTGGTCTGAAAGGTAGATTAAGGTCTGCCCTGCTCTCTGCAGGCTCCTGGGCCTTTGCAACAACTTTTCCTATGTGGTGATGCTCAGCGCGGCCCATGACATCCTCAAACACCAGAGGACTCCTGGAAACCAGAGCCACGTAAGTGTTCTCCATCTCCAGCCCCAACCACCACCACCACCAAGGTCCCAGCCGGCGCTGCCACACTAGACTGCTGTGGGAAGGCCGTGGACTCTCCCTGGAGCAAAGGTCCCCTTGAGAAACTCAGAATAGGGTGGCCAAGCAATAGGGTGAGGAGGCTAGAGTTCTGTCTCCTAGACTCTCAGGGGAGGCAGGAGCACCCTGATGTGGGATCATCTGGGATCTGCAAGGTCAGCAGTTCAAAACCACCAGCCGCTCCTTGGGAGAAAGACGGAGCTTTCTACTCCCAGGGGGTCGCTATGAGTCGGTATTGACCTGATGGTGGCGAGCCTTTGATCGGTTGCTCTGAGCCGGCACCGAGTGTGGGGTTCGAAAACTCTTCCTCAGCAGGGTGGGCCTATGGTCTCTAATGGGTTTCACAGCCCTGGCTGGTCCTTCTCCGCACTACAGGCGGCACCATCCCTGCACTACCAGTACGCATCACCCTGTCTGTCTCCTGTCCCCAGCCCATCCCCTGTTAGGACAACCAGGAATGCTTCCAGACATTGCCAAGTCATCCCTGAAGGATGAGGCTACCCCTGGTTAAGAACTGCTGGAAGGTGGTGAAAACCGAAAGGCACATGCCCCTTTTGTGGGAACAGCCGCCACCTTTGCAGGCCCAAGACTCAGAGTCTGGGAATTCCGATACTCAGAGACAAGCTCCTGCGTATCTTGACCAGACACGGTCCGCTTGCAGGGCCAGATTTGGCCTGTGAGTCTTTTTTTAAAAATGTCCTACGGTTGTGTCGGCACATAATCCGCCTATCGCACGATTCAGTCATTCAAGCATCTCAAGAAGAATCGTGCAATCATGACCACAATCCATTGTAGAACATCTTCTCCCCCACTCCCCCGTGATTAACTCGCCTTTAAAATGAGTTGTGTGATCGCATTCAGTTCCAGCGCTCCCTACTCCTCCCACCTTCTGTTGTTTACTCCCGAAATTCCCTCCCCCTCCCATCTCCTCCCACCCATCCCCTGCCAATCCTCCCATCAATTAGTATCCCCATGCTTTCACTCCTGCACTTCACAAACTCGTCAACTCGACAGAAACAATAAAGAACAAAAAAGAAATAAGGTGGCAAGGATAAAACAATAGTAATATAAACTATAAGCAATGATTAAGAAAGAAAAGGCTGCCATCAATGTTTACAAAAGCCAGGGAAGAGAGAGTCCTTCTCTTTCAGACTTCTCTGGGCTCCCTCCCTCCACGTCAGACAGAAAAAAAATCTGCGCTCTTGAAGAGCTACCCTGGCCCAGGGCCTCCGTGAAGTCTGAGCAGAGCTGGGACTGCAGCCGGTCCGGTCCTGTCGGCCTGCCTTCCCGCCTTCCTCGGTAAGGATGCTTTCCTTGTCCCCCTCAGGTGGACCCAGACCCAACACCTGTCCCCCACAATGGCTCCTCTCGCTTTGACTGCAACTCGGTCTCGACTGCTGTGAGTGCCCTCAGCTCCTCCCCGCATCAAGACCCCCTCGTTCCATAGGCCACACTCCCAGCCCTGCACGCTGATCTAATTGGAATACTACCACCCTCACGCTCCCAGGCCTTCTGCACACCACAGTTAGGATGGATAGCAGTCAGTCCCCCGGGCCATGCCACGTGTGGTGTGGGATTCCCTTCTTCAGACAAGGAAGCTTGGGCTCAGCGTGCCTACGTGCCTTAGCCTCGGTATAAGACAGCGTGAGCGCAGGGCTGTCCGTGCCTGTGTTTGGAGCAGGTCTGGAGGGCAGGTTCCTGCTCTTCTTAACCCCTTGGTTGGGAGGAGTGTCCCCGCCAAAGCCTGGACTCTCCCCGTCCTCTTGTCCCAGGCAGTGCTCCTGGCCGACATCCTCCCCACGCTGCTCATCAAGGTGCTGGCTCCCTTCGGCCTTCATTTGCTGCCCTACAGGTCTGAGCAGGGGCGCTGGGTGGGAGGAAGGGCCGGTGGGCTCTGCGAGGGGCAGGCGGGCAGGAGAGCAGAGGCCTGACCTTCCTGCCCCTCAGCCCAAGGGTGCTCGTCAGCGGGGTTTGTGCTGCTGGAAGCTTCATCCTGGTGGCCTTTTCTCAGTCCGTGGGGACCAGCCTGTGTGGTAAGCGTGCGGTTCTGTGTCAGGTGTGGGTCCCAGGGGAACCTCCACAGAGTGTTGGAGGTGACGGGGGTGGGGTGGGGTGGGGGTGGGGGGTGGGCAGGGGGATCTTCTTAACTTCCGAGAAGAGGCGGACTCCGGCTGCCCTCCGAAGGGCTGTGAGACTGTCAGGAGTCAGAGACGGTGATCGATCAGGGCACGACTTTAAGGCTGCGGTGGTGCTGGCGATGGGAGGAAATGGGTGGGGGCCATGGAGCTTGAGATGATGGACAGAGGCGCCAGGACTCTGGGCGGGGCTTGGAAGAGCCACGCAGAGTGCCCCCACCCCTGGGGGTGGGTCCTGAGCAGGGAGATGAGCAGGAGGTGGCTGCAGGCCTGGGGCACAGCCTGTCTCCTGAGCAGCAGAGGAGACTGTGGGCTTGGGCTGAGACAAGAAAGGCTAGGTGAGGCCACCTCCGTGCTTGCCCCCCACCTCTCCCCACCAGGTGTGGTCTTGGCCAGCATCTCATCGGGCCTGGGGGAGATCACCTTCCTCTCGCTCACCGCCTTCTACCCCAGGTACGCAGGCAGTCGGGAGGGACAGAGGAGGAGCCCAGCCGGGGCCCTTGGGAGTAATCCTGTGCTCTCTCCGCAGGGTCGTGATCTCCTGGTGGTCCTCGGGCACAGGGGGCGCAGGGCTGCTGGGAGCATTGTCCTACCTGGGCCTCACGCAGGCTGGCCTCTCCCCACAGCACACCCTGCTGTCCATGCTGGGCATCCCCGCGCTCCTGCTGGCCAGGTGAGCGGCTCTGGGCATGGAGGCTCGCCATCCTGGTCCTCAGCTGCCCACAGCCGTGCTACTGTGCGGACGCGGACGTGGGACCTGGATCCCGACAGCCCTCACTTTGTGCCTTCTGGTGCCCTTGGCGAACCGTGTGGCCCCAGGCTGGTGACGTCACTTCCCGCACCGTCTGTTCCCTCTGTCGCAGATGACAGTCATTGTCCCCAGCCTGGAGGGGCCAGCACCATGCGGGTCCCAAAGGAGGGACCAAGGGTGGGCAGGATTAGCCATCGTGTGTGTGTGTGTGTGTGTGTGTGTGTGTGTGTGTGTGTGTGTTCACGTAGATTACCTCTGGGTCCCTAGGTTCGAGAGTAGGGCAAGGCCATATAGGAAAAGTGAGCCACTTTTATAAAGTAACCAAGCCAAACCCCCTGCCCTGGAAGCAATGCCGGCTCTCTGTGTCCCTGTCCGGCAGGGTGGGGCCGCCCTGTGAGTTGCCGAGACAGGAGCTCTTCGCTGGCATAGAACACCTTGTCTTTCTCATGAGGAGCAGCTCATGGTTTCGAACCGCTGACCCTGCCCTTGGCAGCCCGACCGGTCACTAGGCCGCCGCAGGGCTCCTGCCTCTAAAGTCCAAGGTGGAAAAGCACAGACATTCAGGAAGGTGAACCTTCGCGACCTGGGGAACTCCCGCCTGGCAGGCTGAGCCCCTGACAAAGGTAGCCAGGTTAATGAGTACAAGGGAGCTGAGCTGGCTCCCGCCATGTGTGACCAAGGCGCTGACAGTGAGTGTCAGCAGACAGGTAGAAACAGGAAGGAAATGCACTTGGGTGGAAAGAAGGCAGAGGCGAACTGGTGCCTGAGAGCGAGTGAGTGCTCAGTGTACCCCTGAGGGACTGAGCTGATGGCCGCTAAGAACCTGTCCAGCCCACCCAAGAGACTCTTTGACCCCTGTCACCCAAGAGACTCTTTGACCCCCGTCTACATTCACCCCACTCGTAGCTATTTCTTGTTGCTCACGTCCCCGGCACCCCAGGATCCTGGAGGGGAAGAAGAGGCAGAGACGGCGGCAGCCCGGCAGCCCCTGATGAGTCCTGAGACCCCCAGGATGCAACCAGGTAGGAGAGGAAGGGTCCCAGGCTGTTCGCTGCCAGGTCCTTCTGAGTGGGGTCCTTTCCAGCGGTCGGCCGGGGATGGGCGGGAGTGCTGGCTCCGAGGGAGCCGGGTGCACCTCCCCCAGGTGTACACCGAGCATGGTCAGGTGGTTCACGTCCTGGGCTGACTGACATCAATCAAGGGAAACAAGGAGCTCTTCCCTTCAGAGTGCTGGAAGGAAATACAGCAAGGACGGGACAGGGAATGACAAATGGGAGGTGGAGCAGAGAGGGGTCCTCGGTGGTGAGAGTGGTCAGTGAAGGACGCTCAGACTTGGATGAGGAGGAGCCAGCCAGCGGGCATGTGGGTGAACGGGGTCCAGGCAGCAGAAGAGCAGGTGCAAAGGCCCTGAGGTAGGGACAAACCTGGGTGGTCAAGGGACAGAGAGAAGGGGCCAGTGTAGCTGGGACACCCCCATGGGCAGCAGTCCCCTGGTGGGGGGTGCTCACTGG